CACTATAAAACAAATACAGTGAGAGCAAGTGGCTTTGCATGGGGGATAAGGAGAAGTGAAATCACCTATATACCCCAAAATAACCATGTCCCAAACCTCTGGGGCAATTGGGCCTTCATCTTAATCTGACCCCCTGAGTATCTATCTGTGCCTATGGATCCATTTCTGTCCCTCTTTCCACAAGAAATGTGGATGGATATCCATGGACAGAAAACTGTCATCACTTTAAATTGGAGGAGTTTAATTCAAAGGACTCTAAGGAGCTGGGGAAGCTGCTTGGCTTCTCCGTTAAAGCTAGATACCAAGCTGTCCTGCAAAAATTTGAAAGGAGTTCTCCTCCAAAATCTGATTTCTGTAATGCACATCTTAACTGACAAGTTATTTTAAACCTATCTGGAAATTTAAAAAAAAAAGCTGGTTTTTCTGTCCTCCCGGGATGGTCATCTGCAGTACCATGGCAGGAGCAGTGTGCTGGTTTCCGTGCTTAGTTCTCCTGTGGTTCATTGCTTCCCCTGTAGCAAGCACTGCTGGAAAAATAGGACCTTGAAGAACAGTTATGCAAAACTAGCCCTAATTCAACATGAAGTTTAGCTGAACAATGTATTCGGGAAATCAGTCTTCTAGGCCCATTGCAGAGTTCTTTGCAAATTACGATTTTCTTCAGCATAATTATATGAGATGACTATTTCTGAAAACTTTAAATGGTTTCTCTGATCTCCTCTAAGGGAGTTTCCCAAGCTGCAGACAAAAACCAAATACGTTTTTTTGTAATCGTCTCCAGTTTGGGTCTCTACAAAAGGAGCACTGTCTGCATAACCCCGCTGACTATGCTTCTGCTGAGTCTGCAGAGCTGATAACAAAGCAAGGTAATACAAATAAATAATAAACACTGAAAACTGGAGAGAAAACATTCTAGATCTGTGCTTCTGTTCCAAGCTATGCTTTTTTACACTTCTTTTTAAAGGAAGAAATGACTTTATGACAACAGTAGGTGACTATAGCAGTGGTCACATTTTAGAAGATACTGGGTTTTTTTAATGCTTGCTTTGTGCACACTATTTTCTATATTGCATGAATACTTGCATCAACTGTGACAAAATCTTTGCACCCAGTTTGCATGTGACTTGCTCAGAGTATGGTACACCTAAGATATCCAGTGTGCAAAACCAGTTAAGGGATGCAAAAATTGAGTTGGTAGCCACCAAATACTGGAGCAGTCCTAATGTCCTCTACAAAGAAGCTTCTACTAAGAAAGCATTACCGAATTTTTCTGTGTTTGTGTTTGTTTAAATTGCACTTTGATTACCTTGTCAATGCCAGCTTCTAGTTTGTTGGAGTTACGTGCCCCATGAATTGAGAGAAACCAGGTCACACACTGTTGTGCATGTTTTCAGTGCTGCCCCTTGGGGAAGGTAATAGAGAGCCTTGCTGTCCTGATTCATGCACATCCTCCTGTTTAACGAGCAGATTCAGATTACATGGAGGAGATAAGGCTGGGATCTGTCAGAGCAGTTCAGTTACTGGGTTTTTAAATGACCAGTTCAGTATGCGTATCAGTTGCACTCAGAACCCGATATTTCTTACTGGACAGAGTGGAAGTGGTCTGAAGCTGGCTGAGGCCGCCAGTGATCACTGCGGTGGAGGTGGGCTCTGCAGGTGTCGATACAGGAGTCTGGTGGCAGAAATGTGACCACATTTCCTTCAAACAGTTGAGGGTGACGAGGAGCCCTTGTGGGGGCAAGGAGGGCATCGTTTCACTAAAAATATTTTCGCTTGTTTTTATTATCAAACATACAGTTCATTTTCAGATGCACTCTTGACCAGGGAAGCAATGTCAGCCAGTGGGAGTGGGTGCTGGTGATGCCACAGAACTAGGAAGGTGTTGAGACAAGAGCTCTATGCCTAAGGAGCAGAAGGGATCAGGTTGCTGCCCATAATCTGAGAGCAGACACGGTAAACTGGACCGGAGGTGGGAGGACAGCTGAGAAACAGAGCTGTTAACGCACTATTCTGCAGAATCACTTGTGACTGAGCCAGGTCTGATTCTTTTCAATGTCAGATAAAAAGTTAAAAGTAGCTTTGATCGGAATTCATCCCTGCATTTACCAGTCCTTAGTTCTGCTGATAGCTGGGGTCAGAAAAATGTACTTACAGTTCATTTTACAATCTGTCGTTTGGCGTTTTTGGCTGAGTGCAATGATGTGTTTCCTGAGCAAACTGTTCTTCTGTATTCTCTCCCCAAAGAAGGACTGCAGCGATCTGTGGCTTAGACATAAGGAGCAGCACATGGTGACTCCCATTGTTTCAGCCACTGTCGAGCAGTGCTTGCGTTGATACAGACACTCAGGCAATTTTTCGATGTGGGAGCATATTTTGTCTGTCTGAGTTCGCAAAGCCACAGTCACAAATAACGTGGTGAGTTGTCTCATCCTAGAAAATGTGTTGCTGCAGGAAGTGAACAAAGGCTTAGTCAAGCTGTGCTGGGGCATGGTTGATGTGAGATCCCAAGGCTGAAGTAACATTGTGGTGTCGACCAAAGTCGCACACTGATCTTTGGGGTGTGGTTAGTGTTAGGGCATGGTCCTTCTGTCTGTGTTGTGTGCCCCATGTATGCAGGAATCTGTCTCTGATTTAAGTTTCATACAAAAACAGAGGTAAATGTGGCACATCCATGTAAAGATGGTGTCAAACTGGCTTTGAATAAAGGGGTTTAATGCAGTACGAGAACTGGGAACCAAAGTGCCAGAGTTTATGGATATACATGCATTGTTTCCTCTCCACTGAATGGGAATTCTTCTCTTGACAATATTTAGGAGGGTCCTGAGGTGAATGCACCTGGTTGGAGAACAAGGAGTAAATTTAAACCAGGAACAAACAGAAGGGGGGTGGTGGTGTAAAGCAGAAATTGCCGTAAGACTTTAGCTTATAACTTCACCTGCTGATTGTCTGGAAAGTGTCCTGGTGCACCTGAAGCTGCATTGGGAACTGGTCACAGTGGATGAGATGAGCTGCATTTCTCAGTATCTTCTTCGGCCTTTTCTTTCTATGAGATTAAAATTTGAATGCATCAAGTACCTTTCATGAAGAAGTCTTTTAAACTTAGGTTGGGAGTTGTTAGGGGAAGAGCAATGGACCGTTGTAGTCTTTTCATTCAAGACCAGATGATTTGATTGTGGACTGTGTGTGTCAGAAAATAAACATTGGAGCTTCCTTAATAGTTAGTGGAAGTTCAAGATATGAGCACATCTTACTTAAAAAACAGGCAGTTTTCAATGCTTTCACAGGATGTGACTTTCTAACTAGTACTGTGCATTATTAATTGCATCACTGATGGTTAAAGGCCTCATCGCCTCTGTTGTGAAGTCAACAGGAACATTTCCATTGGCTTTACTCTGTGCTCTTCTAGGAAGCTGGGATCTAAACTTCTTCTATGAAACACTACCCATGGTAGTAAGAAATCCAGAAGACAGAGCTTTTAAAGTAATTGGGTGATATTCATTACACAAAGCTGAATTAGTGTGTAACTGTTAAGGTGTTGATGTTTAGTACTAATTAAATACTTTTGCATTTCCCAGTGGAACTTAAGGAATCATTTTTCTGAGATATTTTTACATTTCAGACTTTGTATGGTAGCTAATTCTGGAGATTTCAAGTTTCAGATGGTCTGTACTGCCCAAAATCTGCTCTGCTTTTGGCAAGAAACCAGTGTTGAGAGGCATTGTGAGTGTGGCATTGAGGGAACACTGTGTCCTTAACCTTGAGAGTGTTTTCACATTCAACTTTGAATATAGGTTATATTTTGAGCATAGTCACCAAACATAATAAGGAAATATTCTCCCCCTATATAAAAAGTGGCAAAACCTGTTGGTTTATCAATGAAAATCGTTTTCTGTGAGTCTGTGAGGGATACATGAACTTTGCTTTTTCCCAGGTAGAATTTGAGAAAATGGTACTGTAACCTTAAAATTCATAATTTTTAAGGCAAGGCTGTAACAGCTACATGATTGACAATCCTCCATGGAGGAGGCTAAGTGTTCTGCAGTCTGCCTTGAGGAATCATCCTGCAATGTAAGTGACCCAGTTTGCCCACACAGATAGGTTGGATTTGGCAGAGAGATAGGAGCATGGAAGGTGTGGAGCAGATGCCTGCTGTTTTGCACGGGAAAGGCTCCTCTTTTGTGATGTTCCTCTCTTACTACAATCTGGTCTGAAGTGTGCAGAAAGCTGCTGGAGGTGTGGGTGTTGGTTGCCCCAGGTCGACTGTTGGCGTTACGTTTTGCTGGCATCTTTTAGGACTATTTTTCACTAGTCTTTTGCTGGTATGGGCAGAGCCGCTTGAGGTTACTGTTGCTACCATACTCTGTGCTTCTTCGGCTGCCGCAAACAGGCAGAAGCATTTTTCTTCTGTCAAACCCCTACATGCTTCTTCTCCACATAGCATCTGGAGGAGTTGCTGTTTGGTTGGTTTCCCACAGGACACCGATTCTTCACAAGTTCATGTGAAATTTACACCTGTTTACTCTCTGGAAGTCAGTACTTCTGAACGAACATTTGAGCTTTTGAGGGGCTTAAAGGGAATGGAAGGTGGATATGGTGCTGAATAACTTGCAGGGAAACTCTGCAGACATTAAATCCAGTAGTACGTGAATTGTTTGTCCATCTTGGCTCTGTCTGTCTTCACACTCTATCTTATGACCAATAGCTGTTAGACCAATATTGAGTGTGCTTAAGAAATCCTGCCTGCCACTAGTGAACTAATATTATTGAATTATTTTTCTATCAGAGATATAAAATAATATTCAGATGCTTATCAGAATTTTTTTGTGTGTTGTACCAGTTGCTCAGTGTGCCATGTGAATATCATCCTCATTTGTGTGGGAAAAAAGTCATGCTTTCGAGGCATTTAAAGAGAAAATTTGTAAAGCAGATGAGGTGTAGTCCCTTTGAGTGGTCTCTGATAGTGCTCTGCCTGCCTTGGCTTGCATACTTAATTGGTCTTTATTGTCTCTTTCAATCTAGAACTTGGTCCAAAACCATTCCTGGCAAGGTTGAATTCTTCTCCAGCGAGGGTTCAGACACCTCTATTCCCATCCCCATTGTGCCGCTTCCAGGTGTAGATGACTCTTATCCACCCCAGAAGAAATCTTTCATGATGCTCAAATACATGCATGACCACTACTTGGACAAATACGAATGGTTTATGAGAGCTGATGATGACGTTTACATCAAAGGGGACAAACTGGAGAACTTCCTCAGGAGTTTGAACAGCAGCGAGCCCCTCTTTCTTGGGCAGACTGGCCTCGGCACCACGGAGGAGATGGGGAAGCTGGCGCTGGAACCGGGCGAGAACTTCTGCATGGGGGGACCAGGAGTGATCATGAGCCGGGAAGTCCTGCGGAGAATGGTGCCCCACATTGGCGAGTGCCTGCGAGAGATGTACACCACCCATGAGGATGTGGAAGTGGGAAGATGTGTACGGAGGTTTGCGGGAGTGCAGTGTGTGTGGTCCTACGAGGTAAGGACGAGGATGTGGAGAATGAGGTGTGTGATTTGGGGGAGGTAGAGGAGAGGGTGGGAGAGGCTAGCAGCAGGAGATTGCTGTTGTACGGCCACACAGCCGTTCCTCCAGAGCTTGCTTCCCTTTGCAACTTGACCATCCAGCTGTAGTGACCACATTCTTTGCTTCCTACAAGTGTCACCCTGGGAAAGACTTATGCAAATATGGAAAAGCAACAGTAAGGAGGGAAATGGAGCCTGACATTAGGCACATTGGTGTGGGAGGAGAAACATTCATCATTCATAACAGATATGTTCATTTAGACAGAAGGGAAATAAGCTTAAATTAAAATGACCATGGGTCCCTGCAGTCTTGACTGTCCAAACCTCTTATCTTCTTCAGCTGGTATGTCATGGTGTTGGTGTGGAAGATAGATGATACAATTACCATGTTTCTTACTGCAGTTGAAACGTGCAAGGTTGATACATACTTGCCCTGACAGTGACAGTTTTTTGCCAAACTACAGCCATGGCAGAGATGTCTCATGGTGGCTGGCACTGTTACCCTGGATGCTGAGCTGCCTCCCAGCCTGCCTGCAGCCCAAGTCTGCTGCTGCTCAGGGGATTTGCTGGCAGCCCCATCCTGCAGACGGCTCCTGCTCAGCAGCTCCTTGACGTCAGCAGACACAAGCCACCACTCTTACACCGAAACTCAGGGTCTGCCCACAGTGATGTGGCTGTGAATGTGGGGGAAAAAAACCGAGTGAGTCCCCAGCCTGCTTGTGGCGGAGTTTCCTGCTGCTGTTCCTGCTGGATGCTGGAGGCTGGTGGCTCCTCCCAGGGGTGAGGGGGGCTTCTCCACCCCGGGCTGCTGGGCTCTTTGAAGTGAGTCCTGGGTGTTTACAGACTGTCTGATTGAAAACACCTGCTGGGCTTGAGCTGCAGTTCCTCCTCTCTAGTACCAGGGAAAATGCTGGTGGGTCTGTCTTAGAAATGAGGGAGAAGTTGAGGAAGAAGAGAAGGTGAAGAGTTTATCTTTTACGCAAACATTTATGACTTGTACGCAGCTATTGCTTTGTCCTTTTATGAGATGTGGTAAAGAGAGGGGGGGTTCTGCCCGAGTGACGGAGTAGCTGTGGTCACAGATACTGCAGCTGACCTGCTCTTTCACTGGCAAAGATTTGTGTTAAACTTTTGACACTGAGTGTCTGCCCCCAAAAGCTGTTGTTTCATTTCATTTCACAGTTCAGTGACAGGAAAGCCTATGAGGAAGGGGAAGGAGTTTCCAGCTGCAGTAATTCATTCATACCTTGTGTGCATAAAAACTTTCTGGACTAACAGCAGCTCTCCATGTTCCCGGCTTACAGACCTGGAACTAGTTTATGTATTGTCAGCATCATGGTTAGCTGTTCATAAGGAGTCAGTAACTTTTTCCACAGCTTTTAGCAGCATAAAATTTTACTCTAGACATTCTGAGTTGAAATAACTTCTGGTGTGAATGTCTGTAGAGTGTGCACTTGATAGCTTACTGAAGGTCAGTGTTTTGGTCCTACTGAAACTGGCAGAGACCTCCTCAATTCAGTATGATCAAATTTTGGCTAGACCTCCTAAATTCAGTATGATCAAATTTTGGCTTGAAATAACTAACAGTAGCACACAGCTGCATTAGAAATGCTATCTGACATAATTAGATGGGGCTTTTCTCAAAATAAGTGTTATTTGATCAGCTTCTGTCAAATTATCTGTAGTGCTGGATTCTCCAAAGTGCCATGAATTACTTAAAATTCGTTTGTGTGAAGTGTATAAACTGTAAGATGTTCAGAAGTAACCTGTGAGTGTGAGATGTTAAGGCTCAGCTGTTTTGGAGAGAGGGAATTGTTTCAGTGACATAGGCATGCTCCTTCTGCAAGGAACAGGTCTGCTCTCATTTAGTTGAGACTTTTCAGTTTAAAAACCTGTAATCTTTTCCTTATTTTGATCTGGTCCTCTCATTGCCCAGACAACTAGATTAAGTGTGCCTGGTATTTTATTTAAGATAAAGCAATAGCTGTGTGAAATAACACAGCTGTCATAACAGCTGTGGTAGGAAAGTTTGGTGTAAAACTGACATTTTCCATGTCTTGTATGTTCATGAACATCTAGTAACAGGCCACTGTAAGTGGATTGCAAAGCATTGTATTTCAGTGAGCTTCTGATGGAGCAAAAAGCTTATCTGTGCCTGCTCTGCTGGGACACAGCTACCACATTCTTCACAATTCCCATTAAGAGGGAAAAAGCAATAGCGCGAGGCTTAGCAAACAAAACGACGTTTGGATCTCAGAGAACCCAAACCTCAAAGTTCTTCACTTCCTGCACTTCCTATTCTCAGGAGTCTCAAGTAGCAACACAAACGAAAAGCTCAGGTCTTTGTAGTCACCCTCCAGCTCTTTGGTTTTCCTTCTTAGCATCTCAGACATGGAATGCCCTGCCGGACCTCAGCGCGGGTGTTTTTTTTCCCTGCACTGTTCTCACGGTGGGCTCTATGCCCAGAGTCGTTTTACTCGTCTCCATGACTGTCACTGACCCCTTTCTCTGATTTTTAGGATCCCACAATGTCTTTACTGTGCTGCTCATCTTCCTTGTCTTTGGCTCTGGTGGTGTGCCCAAATGTGTCTCCAGGCCCAGCTCTGTGGGTGTTTTTCTGCTCACAGCAGTCTGTTTCAAAACCCTTTTTTTTCCCCCCTTCCTGTGTTTCTGTCACTTTGTTGCTCTCTGTGGTGCCTCTTAGACCACTTCATTAGTGGCACTGGTTATTGCCCGTTTCAAGACTTGTAAAGATTTGTTCACGCTCTTCCTGCCATCAGGAGCTTTTCAGCAAATACAGTAAAAGAATTGACACCATGATTCTTTGGACTTCCTGTTTCATCTTATCCCAAAAAAGAGGCAGTAACAATATGTGCGAGCTTGAGGAGAACTGAAGCTCAGTGGGCTCTGGGGAGCTTTGTCTGACACACCCAGGCTGCTGCTTCAGGAGAAGTTTGTAGCCCATGATGGATTTTGGGCTCCTGTGACCAGGCTTGTAGCTGTTGCCTTACTTGGCACAGGTCGAGTGAGTCACAAATGAAACATACCTCCTAAAATGTAAGGTTTTAAGGCAAGAATTATCATCGTTGTAAAAACAAAACCAAGAACAAAGGTGGAGCAGCCAAAGCAGTAAACTAGAAGAAAAAAATAATGAAAAGAATGGAGCAGTGAAATCTCTGAAGATTACAGATAGGAGCTTGACAGTTTATAGAGCGCAGTCCTTCCTCTTGAAGAGGACAGAAGTCTTGTTCTGATCTTGCTAGGAAGTGATTCTGCATTTCTAGTGAACATTGGTATTTTGGACTTCTGGCACACTTAGGGGTGTTTTTCTCAGAAAAAGCTTACATTTGAGTCTCCTTCCTTCTCTCATTTTTTTCCCACCTGTAGTTCTTCTAGTTTGCTTTGTGTGGGTCACAGAGACATGCTAGTTTTGTTTTCTCATGCACTGCCATGTGGTTCCATGCATGGTCTTGGCTGTACAGCCTGAGAACAGGTTTCAGTTTTGATGACAAACCATCTCATTTGTGATTTAAACAATCCCAATGTGTTGTTGATCTCAGTTTTCATTTTGAGTCTAATGTTTCCTTTAAATGCATCTGAATTACAAAGCCACTGCTCTGCAGCTTAGTGTTGTTTCAGCCTTGATTTGTAGCTGCAGCTGAGTATTGTTCTAATTTGTGTTTAATATCCTCACCTTAAGAGTGCTGGTAACTTTATTAAAGCTCTTTGTAACTGCTAGAAATTAAGGCAATGCTGATTTCTATCTCTTTAATTTCTTCAGTAATAAAACCCTTTTGACACACTGCTTTCAGGTGATACTATCTGCTTTGTTTCCTACAATGCAATAGAAACAGCTGGATCCAACAGAACAGATTATGCTACTTAACTACTGGTGCAAATGCACAGATGTTTTGTCAGTTTTTTGTTTGTGCATTCTTTCTGTCTGTCTGTTCTAATTGAGGTGGTGGGAGAAACTAGCTAAGAAATATCAAGTGTGTCTGAGGAGGGGGCACTGCTTTCCTCCAAACTAGCAACAAGTATTCTTAAATGTCCTGAAGTGAGACAAGAGTTTTTATTAATATACATGGAAAAGAAGCTATGACAAAGGGAGCAATCACATCAGGAAACGTGAGCATCAAGGAAGACTATGTCCAACCTTTTGGGCATCAGTGAGGGAAAGTAGGGCAGTGGTGACTAGGGATAGTGGGGGGTTTCTGGGAGAAGGGGGATTTGAATTAACATTTTGTGTGGTCTTTCATCTGCAGTAATTGAAGATAATTGCTACTCTGAAATTTGCTGAAGTTAGGAAAGTCCTTAAAGTGCACATTATATTTGCCAAGTACATTGGCAGTGCCAGAACATACCATTTCTGGAATGGACTCTCCCACGGGCAAAACTGAAGTTTATGGTTTTCTGTAAGATAGGCAGAAGTCAAAAAAAGATAAAAGTCCTGCAGCAGTTGCTAAGAACTGGGGACAGACGCAACTGTTAACTTCTAACCTTCAGTTCCCTTGCTTGATCTTCTGAGAAAGAACCTTCCTTCCTCATTGAAAAAGGAGATCCATCCTGTTTGTAGTTGGCTAACGTATTGTGCGTAGTGACTTCAGCAGCAAGAGCTGTGCATCTCGGAGCAGGGCAGGATGGGGTCTGGGAGGGGGTGCTTTTGGCAGGGTGTTCTGAAGCACTCGGTTCACTGTGGTCTGTGCAGGGCAGCGAGGCTGGACTGTGATGTTTGGATACATGTGTGTTGTCCTGGCTTCAGAGCTTGTACTTTTTTTGAAGTCAGAGTGTAGGAACATGAACAGCAACAGATACCTTACCTCACTGTGTGTGTAGCCCATTGCTACTCTTCATTCAAGAAACATACAATACAAATTGCATGTGTGTGTGTGTGAGGATACAAGCATGTCCAGTGTTTTAGGGTGGATGTTTATAAATGAACTTTTCTTAAGCAGT